AGGGCTGGCTGGGAAATTCTGGGAGTTGAAGTCCACACAGCTTAAAGTTGCTGAGGTTGAGAAACACTGTTCTAAATCTTCAGAGTGCATATAGCCGAAAGGCTGCATGACAAAAAATAACTTCATCCTTTCTCCTTCCTGGTTTTCTTCAGCTCAGAATTACTTTCCCCAAGCTAGTATTTCAACCAGAAAGCCATGGTTGATCTTGGCTGGGCTGAGATGTTCAGCAGGCTTCAGACTGGTTTGGACTTGGATGAAATTCTTCCAAAGAACCCCAGGGCTGAAGGCCAGACTGGGAAGTCAGAAACACCTATGGGGAAGGCTTTATTGTTTTATGAAATTTAAACCCCAGCTCACTTTATTTTGTGGATGAATTCTATTTCTTCTCTGCATCTTTTTCCATGACCAATGAATAAATGAATAAGAAGAGAAAAACCTGAAGCATACTTCCTCAGCTTCTCTTTTGTTCTTTAATGACACAGTTATTCTAGCCCCTGAGTGTCGTCATGACAGAGCTGAGCAAAACTACCCCCCCAACACACATGTTGAAGCCTCACAGAAGCATCATGTTGGAAGTCACCCTAGAGGTCTCTTAGTCCAATCCTTGCTCATTGAAGGATCCCCAAGACCACCTCAGATAGCTGTCCATCCAACTTATGTTGAAAACTTCCAACAAAGAACTCATCACTTTGGCAGCAGGCAGTTCCACTGACTGACAACTCATACAGTTAGGAAGTTTGGGAGGCGTCCTTCAGCTGTTTCAATAGTTGGAACAGGTTTCTGCACATGAAGCAGCTTCTTTCAGTCATCAGAACCTCAGGTTGAACTTTCAAGACAATGCGGAGGGCTTCTTTGAATTTATTTGTTGACATGGTTACTGCTACAAGTAATCCTCGACTTACGACCACAATTGGGACTGGAACTTCCATCACTAAGTGATGCGGTCATTAAGTGAATCACACCTGATTTTATGACCTTTTTGCCATGGTCATTAAGTGAAACATCATGGTTGTTAAGCAGATCTGGCTTCCCCCTTTGACTTTGCTTGTCAGAAGCCCCCCAGGAAGGTCCCAAATGGCGATCACAGGACTCTGGGACACTGCAACCATCATAAGTACATGCCAGCTGCCAGGCACCCGAATTTTGTTCATGTGACCGTGGAGACACTGTGACAGTCATAAGTGTGAGGACCAATCATAAGTCACTTTTTTCATCACTGTCATAACTTCGAACAGTTGTTAAATGAATGGTTGTAAGTCAAGGACTACCTGTATTCAATAAACTTGGTTGATTCTGTTTTTATCTTGTTAACTGCCAGGAACAGTTTGTGAGTAAAGAGCTATACAAGTTTGATAAATAAATAAGGGAAGTCACCTCTTTGCAGTGACAAAGGCCAAATGGGTCTCCCTGAGGCAAATGCAAGGCCCCCGTTACCAGAGTTGAACCATGACTACTCATGATGCCACCCCTTGTTTCATGTTCAACTGTATTTAAGAGAAAAGGTAAACATAAAAAAGAATTCCTCACCAGATTTAGGGTTGCACTCAACAGCAGGCACAAGTCCCAGGTTTGGGGAGAGGTTGTAATAGGGACTGGATCCTCCAGCAAGCGAGGTGACACTACTTCTTCGGACAGCCGAGACAATTTTGATTTCCTTATTCGGTTGGACTGAAAAATAAACAGCGTTCTGCTGAACTGTGCCAATCAACCCCATGTATTACAGTGGAGTTTGACCCAAATTCCAGCATGTTGTGAAGTGAATTTTGTTTGGTTAGCCGTTCCGAATTAATAAATAGCATGCTGTTCTAAATTTGGGCAAGTTGTAGTCATAGGAGAATTTTTCCCTAGTCCAAATTTTCATACATATATATTCAATTGACATCTCCCCAACGTGGTTCCTTAACTACCAGGCTTCTGGATACAGTGGTACCTCAGGTCGCGAACGCTTCTGTTCACGACCAATTCGGTTCACGAACAGCTCCGTTCGCAAAATTTTGCCTCCGTTCGCGAACGCCGGA